AAACCTACAACAATGGATTTATGGCTCTAGATGTGGGTTTTGACTGCTGGGATAATGTCATGAATGGATACAGTAAGGATGAAATGCTGTGTTTCTGTTTTGTTGTGATTGTTAAACATGGGCTCAGGCGGATCAAAGCCTCTTGATTTGTGATGGGTCTGATGGCAGTGACAGAATTGCACAAATATTGCAGCAGACTGCGTCCAGTTACAGATCCAATGTTTGACAAGAATACTGAATGTGAAACTGGTCAGCCTCCTGCTACTACTAGTTTGAAACACAGGGGAATGACATCCTTATTTATAAGCCTTGGGTGCCGTTGTACAAAACAACCTTATCGCTATGATCGTCGTAAGTCTATGTTAAGGTATGGGAGATCACCTTAGCGCTAAGATCGCTTTGTACAACAGCACCCTAGCCTGGATGCTTTGGTCTGAATCATTTATAAGCTTTGGTCTGAATCCTGAATAAGCCTTGGTCTGAATCATTTATAAGCCTTGGTCTGAATCCTGAATAAGCCTGAATCCTATATATATAAGACTTCGTTTGGAGGTCCTGACTCGATTATTTACAGACCGCTGTCATAAAGCTGGAATATTGCTGAGTGTGGCGTTAAACAACAAACAAACAAACAAAACAACATTTAATTAAGTTTGTTTTAATTATAAAATGTAACTTCTTTGATAGGCATTTAGAAGTTGGAGTACTAAGTAAGGATAAAAATTTATGGATGAACAACTTCTTTATTACAATTAAGAGCAACGTTTTGGTGTAGGTTCTAACACTGTAATCAAGCAAGTCACTGTCCTCGTGTATGAAAAATTTCAGATTAAGACGAAAGGTTTTGGTTAAATCGTGTTATTCTGAACGTTTTAGACAGGACATCATGACCTATATTGACTTTGTGGATGTATCATGCTAGGTAATGAGCTGTGATACAGGTTTCTCATGCATATATTTTGGAAATCTGGAAATGGAGACGACGAAAGCCGGGATGTCATTTAACTTACATTGCACACTTTTAGAAGTTTTTGTTGATTTGTTTCTTTATATAATTTATTTAAAGATTTGCTTGAGATGTCTTATTTTTGCATTTTTGTTACATGGACCTGTTGTCGAAGCGTGTAGCTGAGAAAAAACATTTTCAATAACATTGCGGGAAATAGTGAATAAATGTTTAATCTATCTATAAAATATGATAAGTTGAACTGAAATATGTATTTCAGATATTGTGAAATGTGATAGATTTAATACATGAATGATATGACAGGCAGGTTAATAAAATTCTATATTTAATGTGGCTACGGCTTGGCTGGTGTACCAACCTGCAGTGTCTGGGGACTCATGACTTCTGCGGTGTTGAAAGAGTTAAGCCTTGGTCTGAATACTATATGCGCTTTGGTCTGAATCCTAAATGAACCTTGGTCTGAATCCTATATATATGCCTTAGTCTGAATCCTATCTAAGCCTTGGTCTGAGTCCAAAATAAACCTTAGTCTGAATCTTATATATGCCTTGGTGTGAATCCTAGATAAACCTTGGTTTGAAAGCTATATATAGTGTTCCCTCGTTATTGCGCCCTTCAATAAAGCGCTAACTCGGTTATAGCGCGCGGTAAAGCATGGCTCCAAAAATTTACAAACATTTTCAATAAACTAAAGTTTTCCAATGACACAATGTTTTCTCCCATCTAAAAAAACATTACCAGGTGATCACTGCGATCACATAACACCGGAAATACCAGTCAACAAATCCGAACTAAAGTACGCAATTTAATCCTATTATAATATCTGGTAATACAAAAAATGTTCCTTGTTTATCGGGACTAATGTTTGCAATATATTTTTTAAATTATATTCAAAATTTCATTCGATAATTATAATAATGTTTACAATAATTTTGGCGAAATCGTATGCGAAGTGATCGGTAGATTGCACACCTCACCGTTATTTACAGCAACCACGGTCAGATTACCGCTATTGACACCTTGAAACGAACTTTAGTTGCCAGAGAATGGATACACATATCATAAATGCTGTACCAATGACTCGCTAAAAGTCATATATGAGGCAGTTTGACTATTAAATGTCAACATAACGTTTTCGTAATCGAAATACATGTTGCGCAGGAAGTCCCTACCATGACTGGTCATAATCGTTCCATACGTCAAAAAAAAATATCCTGCATACAGTCTATACCAAAGTGCTATGCTTATGGTTCTTATAATTTTAAGTATATATGGTGGAAGCTGCAACTAAAATTACACGCTATTGGAATATATTATTCCTGATAAAATAATAATTTCAGATACAATTTCTTCCGACCATTGCATCAAATTTCTTTAAAGTGGTATCACTGGGTATGTTTTAACTGAATCACCGGTAGATTGGGAGGAAACGTGTGCACAGCAGATTTCTATTTCCAGCTTAGTTTACGAAAAAATACGCACGGTAATCTTAATCTCTGCATATAAAACAGTGCCTTTGAGAGCAGGAAATACATTGTAAATGGTAAATCATCATGTCTGGTGATGTTTTATATCAAATTTCATACTTTTATTGACCAAGTTTGTTATAGATCTACCTGCTTATTGACCTGAAGGGATACGATATGTTGGATTTCTTAAAGCTCATATTAATACTCGATAATTTTTTTTTTACTCTATGAATCATAAATAACTTCTTTTCTAATCTCTTTTGAAACTCAGAAACTTGCAATGTAGATCGTGTTAGGTAGGCAGAGCATGTGTACTGTTAAACGTTAAACCACTGATCATCTATAACGCTCATCAATTATTTGGACCCTGAAGGTAGCTTTATAGCAAGGGATGCCTTGATTTAAATCCTTTATATGTCTTGGTATGAAACCTGAATAAGGCTTGGCCTCAATCTTATATGCCTTGGTTTGAATCCTATATATGCCTTGATCTGACTCCTATATAAGTCTTGATCTGAATCCTATAAGCCTTGGTCTGGATGCCTTGGTCTGAATCCGATATATGCCTTAGTGTGAAGCCTAAATAAACCTGGATTTGTGTCCTTTATTTGCCTTGATCTGAAGCCTAGATATGCCTTGGTCTGACTCCTATAAAATCCTTGGTCTGAATCCTATGACTTATATTCTATTAAACTATAGACTGTAAATGTTAGATTGTGCTGTGCTTGTGTGAGTTATGTATGGACCTGTGTTACTGTGTGTCAGATAAATACAATAAACAGTATCATTGTCCTCAGTGATAGAATGCGTCTCAGTATACCTGAATTCTGTAAAAGCACCTCCCTCATTTGTTGGTAGAAACGATAGGCTTGGAGTTATAGATAAGAAAATAAAATTCCTTAAGATCAAACTGAAAATAATTCACTTATATATGGGTATGACTCTGAATGTTTCACACAGTTAATTTTTTATTCCTCCAAGCTTTCTTCAGTTTGTTTCATGACATGATCACATGACAGATCTCTCAACTAATTCAAATAAAAAGCCAAATATTTTAGGACAACAGTTTTTGTATGGAATGGAAACAAAGTGACTTAAATCTATTCAGATGTTTATATTTTATTTTTTTTAGCTAAACAATTCAATGAATCTATAAAGATATGTTTTCTATAAAGTTTATATTTAACTTCTTATATCTTTTAGAGCTTTTTATGGAGTCATATAAACATGTTTTTGGTAAGTGTATTATTTTCTTGTAAGTACTTCCAATTTTTGCTGCAGGTGTCAACATTGGTAGTTACAGGAAAAACAGAGGTGTTGAGGCAGTGAAAAATGTGTAGCATTTGAATGGAAAAAAAATTGAAATATATTGTTTAAGATTCCTTTATTTCACACGCTCAGTTTATAGGATTAGAAATGCCAATCATATGTGCCACCAGCAGCAAGGGAATTCTTAAACTACAAAACATAGCAATTAGCCTGTGGCATGAAACAAATGATTTTCATGCCAACTTTGAAATACAAGAAACATTTAAAAAGATTTGTAGGTACATGTACACAGCAAGCAGTGCATGAAACAGTGCAGGGTCAAAAAGAAGCATGACACTCTTATGTCCATTTCATATTTTTCATGACCACTTCATTTGAAAACTGCAAAAGGTCTGAAGTTGTTCTGTGTATTTGTTGTGTTCACTGTGTATTCACTGGGCGGACATTGAATGGAGCGATACTCTGTTCATGGTATAGCATTACAAAAACTACAGCGAGAGTGCTGGGTGTTAGCAGTCCTGTGCTAATGTTCACTGCTTTCTCGGCGCACAGTAATTGAATTTCTTCAACCTTGTGGACTGAATTGAGTGGGAATGGTATTTAAAAGTCTTCTCTCTGATAGAGGCTTTTAACAATGACAGTTGGAGAAAAGTAGTGAAATGAACGGCTCAATGACATCAACATTACGACAGATTAAATGCCATTGAGGGTTGTTTACATTGATTTGTAGGTTTTGTTAATTTCTCAATCTCTGTGACAAAAACTTGTTAGATTTCCAACTGTGTAATTGACAGATAATAAAAGAAAGTGTTGTGTTTGGAAAGAGAGGTATTCTTCCAAGTCTGATTGAAGATTGGAGTGAAATAGTTCTAACTGGAATGAAATGGTATTTATGTTACTGCAGCAGGCTGTGATTGCGTGTGATATGCAGGGATGTGTTGAGGCATTAGTTTGATGGATGTGTTAAAAACAATACTGGAATGTCACCGGGGAAATGATATACATATTTGTCAAGATTTGCTTGGCCATAACTTTTGTTTTCTTTGGCAATACAATGGCCAACATCCTCCAAGCTGGTGGGCATATTTTCCGCTATCTGTTTTGAGATGCAGTTAATTTTTGTCACTGCATCAGGGTGTGGAATCCTTGTCACCATCTTGATGAGGAGAATCATGGTCAACGTCCTTGGGACTACTCATATGACTGCTACTCTAGTCACATTTAAGCTTCTTTCTGGTAAACTTTGGTGATTGTATTGATATTGTGATTGTCATGAGATATCTGCCTTGTTTCAGTGTATGCAGTGCAGAGGTTCAGTGAAGTGCCAACCAACACCTCGGTGATACAAGGCCAGTCCGCCCTCCTCCGCTGTGTGGTCCGAGACAAACAGGGATCCATACAGTGGACCAAGGATGGCTTTGCCCTGGGTAAGTTGGGTGATGATGATGATGATAAGTTGGGTGATGATGATGATGATGATGGTAATGCTGTCACTGATAGCTGACAAGATTGGTACATGTGCGATGATAATCCACAATGACATGTTAAGGATGCTGCTTGACTGTCGATAACATCAAGGCATACAATGCTCAACACTGAAAGTGAGTTGGTCATGAAATTCTATTTTTACAAAACCAAAGTATTATAAAGCATCTTATCTCAAAACTGTTTAACTGAAATACAGGGGATGTTGTCATGTTTTTTTTCCATTTATTACTCAGCATGAATGGTCCTCCTTTAGATAAATGTTGGGAATCAATTTTTGTGTATGTGAATACTTGCATAGAAGTCAAGTACAAAAAAACTGACAGTCTCCTAGTGTCAGCCCCAGGCCAGGCAAGTGTTGGGATCTCATCATACTCAAAGTCATCATCTTAAATGTTAAGTTGAAGTTTCTCCAGCAACATTTCACTTTGGCTAATGGGTAAGTGGTTTCTGCACTTGCACCTAAAGTGTTGCTAGCAATGATTGGAAATATCATGACTGATTAAAGAAACCTTCAATGTCAAAGTGTTCAACAAGACAACGCAAAGCCTATAAGGCAAAGTTAATTCCTGATGATTTATTGTTAGTTTTTCCCTCGATATTCTGGTCATGATACGATACGTATCTCGATACGCAACGATAAAAAAGAGTACTCCAGTACTCCAGCATATATTAAATGTCAAGGCTTCAAGCATGTCAGGATTGATACTTTCATTAGTTTAAAACAGTCAAAATTATTTTATAATAAGAAGACTACTTGTCAAGCTTCAAAGTGGAACTTTCTCTTACCCTCCGTCAAAACATGTCAAATTTCAAAACAGCTGGAAACTCCAAAGTTCAAACACAAGAAAATAATCAATGCACTTCACAGTGTAAATAGTTCAACTTAAGGTTCTGTTTCAGAAAAAATAAAATGTCAACATTGTCAGGGGACAGTGATACCCTCTCTAAACGGGGGTGGAGTTGTGGGGGGTAGATGACCAACACAATAGTACATGGTCTGCCTACCTAACACGATCTACGATGTACACTTCAGAGTTTGAAAAAGGATAAGAATAGATTCATAGTGTAAAAAACATATTTATTGAGTGTTATGCGCTTTTAAAACAACACAATGTATGTCTTCAGCAAATTCAGGTGAATAAACAGGTATTACAAACCTGGTCAATAAAAATATGAAATTTGATATAAAACATCACCAGACACGTTGACTTACCATTAACATTCTATTTTCTGCTCTCCAAGACGTTGTTTTATATGCAGAGATTTAGATTATCATGTGTATTGTCTCGTAAACTGAGCCGGATATAGCAACCAGCTGTACACACATTTTCTCCCAATCTATTCAGTTAAAAAGTACCCAGTGATATAAGTTCAAAGAATTTGAATGCAATGGTTGGAAGAAATTGTATCTGAAATTATTGTTTTATCAGGAATAAAATTTTTCAATATCGTGTTACGTTTTTACGTATGGTACAATATGACCAGTCACCGTAGAGAATTCCCGCACTACATGTATTTCGATTGCAAAAACGTTATGTTGACATGCAATTGTCAAGTTGCCACAAATATGTTTTTCGAAGAGTCAAAGTATGGCATTTATGATATATGTATCCATTCACTGGCAACTAAAGTTCGTTGCAACCTGCAATCTGACCGTGGTTGCTGTAAGTAACGGTGAGTAGTGCGATCTACTGATCACTTCACATACGATTTCGCCGAAATTAATGTAAACAATATTGAATGAAATTTTGAATAAAATTAATAAAATATATTACAAACATAAGTCCAGATATACAATGAACACGTTTTTATAACCAGATAGTATAATAATAGGATTGAATTGCGTACTTGAGTTCGGATTTATTGACTGGAAATTTTCCGGTGTTCCCCGCTCGCGCTGATAATGTTTTTCGTGATTGGGAAAAACATCCTGTCAGTGAAGAAACATGAGCTTATTAAAATGTAAGTAAGTTTTGGGAGCCATGCGTTACTGCGCTCTATAACCGAGTTAGCGCTATATTGAAGTGTGCAATAGCCAGGGAACATTGTACAAAGATGTGCATTCCGTATCATGGTGTATCGATAAAAAGACCCATGTGTATCGTGTATCGTATCGTTGGTCAAGTATCGCGATGCATCGGAATATCAGTGTATCGTTTCACCCTTAGTATTTAAGCAAAAAAAATTGAATTTCAACACTGACAGCAACATTGCTGTCTTTATATTGTTTTAAAGTGTTGATAGTATATTTAGGTAAGCTACAGTGTCATGGCACTATTTCTGGTTTGCATGTGCTGTAAGCATGTTCTGCAGGCACTCTTACACTATCAGAATTTTCACTGTACCTGAATACTATCAGTGACTTGTACCTGTATCAGTAACGCATGAAACTACATGAATATGAACAGTATTAATGAGTGGTGAATTTCCTCACAAAAATAATGATATTACCAATAACTGTGTGTTACCTGTACTTCAAAAGGGGTCATTATTGATATTCATCTTCAGTGTTCAAGGCTAAACGTCTGGTAATGCATAATGAATCTTGTATGTTCCCTGAAGTGGTTGTCTGTCAAAACAGAATCTAAAATGTTAGGGTTTCTTATACTAGAATTCTTGAGCTACTATTACATGTGACTCATGATATCCTATATGGTATTGCTAACAATGTATATTATGATGGCAACAGCTCTTGAAGAGCCTTCTTCCTGCTAGAAGACACTGTAAATGTCCAGGGCTAGTTCCATTGTGTGCTGACCTCATATATATTTACAGTTCCTTTGCATGAAGCTGAAGTAAGTGTATTTCTCTCAGCAGAGCCTGCAAACAAATTGCTTATGAGATTGACAAGCCTGTATGACATAATCTCCTCCTGAATGATTTGGAATGAAAATGTATTGTCAGAAAGGCCAGAAATGGCTCATAGCAGAGGCCATAAATCAGGAAATTTGGAAACTATGAAGCTATTTTGCGCATGATAAACAAGTCTTTATAACCAAATTTGCCAGAAAATGTTTTTGTAGAAGCAAAATTTTGCAAAAAGGATTAGATTAAAAGAGCATGGCTTGTTGATGGGATTTGATGATGAGACAACAGTGATTAAATCTGGCGTAAGCCTCCACCAGTTTCATGGCTCATCATCACTGGTTCATCAAGCTGCAGTTTATTACATAGAGGGTGTTCCTTCAATGGACCGCTTGTTGGTTGCATCGATCCTATGCTCTCTTGTGGTTCTTGCTGTGACGTTTACGATGGGTTTAACAGTCATTTAGTGGTTTAAACACAGCATTAAAACCTGTTAGGTCATTTTCTCTGGTTCATTATCAACCCCCTCCTGCCTCACCAGCCACAGCAGTGTCCTGTCTCCATTGGGACACCATTTGGAATAGAAATGGAATTCCGGAGTCGACAAAATAGGTTGAGAGTGAATTAACCTTAAAGCTGACTTTTTCAAATAAAGCTCCTGATAGCATTTCTTAGAGTAGATGCCTAGTCCTCTAATTAGAAAAAAAAGAGAAAAAACATTGTTCTTGAATTGAGTTAAAAGCCTTTTTTGTTACAAGCAAAATCTTTGATAAGTGTAATCCTCGAAGCCAGACAGGCAGATCTAGTATAGACTGTGGGATGTACACCATGTGATGACGCTGCCTGACGTGGATGTGTTGTTCGCAGGAGGTAGCAGGGTGTCAAGAACATCACACCCAGTAACATGTAATGAGCACATACTGGAGTGGACAGGTGAATAAAAAGCCCTTCCGCGACATAAAAAGCACAGTCTGGGATTTTAAAGAAGGAAAACAAGATCTAGGACATTATGAGAAGAATATGATTTGTCTAGTGCAGTGAAATGCAAGGTAGAATAAATTGTCATTGACATTATAAGCAGATTATTGTGTGAATGAAATATAAAAGGTTAATAAAACATTGTCTAATACTATGAAATAAAATATGTCAATGATAATAAAGGAGGATTGTCTAGGACAATATAGGAAGAATGAAATGTCTAGGACATAAAAGGAAAAAACAAAAACCTTTCTGTGATATTACAAAAGGAATATTGTCTATGCCGTGGAGAAAGGTTATTATAAGCTTGTGTCTAGATTTATAGGCAAAATAGCTGTGTCTTGAGTAACATGAATAAAGAAAATGATTAAACTGCGTTAATGGTTTAGTCTCTTCACAGCACTCCTACCTGTGTCCATGACTTCACCAGCACTGGTATCTGATGTTGTCACAGCCAACTCCTTGTCTACCTGTGTCAGTGACGTCGCCTACACAATACATACCCCAGCAGCAGGATCTGATGTTGTCACAGCCAACTCCTTGTCTACCTGTGTCAGTCACGTCACCTACACAATACATACCCCAGCTGCAGGATCTGATGTTGTCACAGCCAACTCCTTGTCTACCTGTGTCAGTGACTTCACCTACACAATACATACCCCAGAAGCAGGATCTGATGTTGTCTCAGCCAACTCCTTGTCTACCTGTGTCAGTGGCGTCACCTACACTATACATACCCCAGCAACAGGATCTGATGTTGTCACAGCCAACTCCTTGTCTACCTGTGTCAGTGACTTCACCTACACAATACATACCCCAGCAGCAGGATCTGATGTTGTCACAGCCAACTCCTGGTCTACCTGTGTCAGTGGCGTCACCTACACAATACATACCCCAGCTGCAGGATCTGATGTTGTCACAGCCAACTCCTTGACTACCTGTGTCAGTGGCGTCACCTACACAATACATACCCCAGCAGCAGGATCTGATGTTGTCACAGCCAACTCCTTGTCTACCTGTGTCAGTGACTTCACCTACACAAAACATACCCCAGCTGCAGGATCTGATGTTGTCACAGCCAACTCCTTGTCTACCTCTGTCCATGTGATGTTACCTACACAATACATACCCCAGCAGCAGGATCTGATGTTGTCAC